CAGCTGCAGGGGCTTCTGGTGGCCAAAGTGGAGGGTTTTCTACCCTTTTGGCTGGTGCAAAGTCCCAGCAGCTGGAGTGTGAGGACCCTCCTGTTCCTCAGGCGGAGTTTTCAGGCAGGTCCTTCTCTCAGGCACCTCAGGTGCAAAAGGAGTTCAGTGAACTGCTTGTTTAGATCTGGCTACTCTTATTTAAGTCATTTTATCGTTGTTTTCCTTTCCTGTACGTCGTGAAAACGAGTCCCTTGGAAAAGCAGGAGATCAATTCTCCTTTTAAATGTCAGCAGTGTCTTTATTCACCAGTGAGGCAGCCGGGACCTTCTGGGTTGCTGCTGTTTATTTACTCTTTTATTCCCGGCCTTCAGCTTTTTCCCTTTTGTCATATTGTGTTTGTGTTCAACATGACTTTTTTTCCTTGCAGTTGTGACCCCCCCCCGTTGTTTTCTTTAAACCTTTCTCTGTTGCTTGTTCACGTTTTCATATCTGTTGTCTGAACTCGGAATAAACTGCTTTTCCCAGACAGAAAGGGTGTGGGTTTTTAGTCTGAACGACCCATTCTTTAGGAAGAAATTCCTCCCTCTGAGGGTGGGGAGGCCCTGGCACAGGTTGCCCAGAGAAGCTGTGGCTGCCCCATCCCTGGAAGCGTCAGGTTGGAGCAACTTGGGATAGTGGGAAGGTGTTGGGACTGGAACTGGAGGATCTTTAAGGTCCCTTCCACCCGAAACCATTCTGTGATTTCACAATTTTACGATTATTCCAGGTTTTTTTCGCCCTGAAAAAACCTAGTCGAGGATTTTCATTTTATCTGTGCTCGCTTCCAGACCTGGGGAGGTTTAGAGAAAACCTTTCAGGAGAATAAATAGATTTAACTGCAAACAGATTGAAAAAACTTTTTGACTTTTTGAAAGCAAGAATCTTGACAAATACCTTGTTAGCGCTTAGATTGTGGTTTGTTGTAAAAGGCTAAATTAAACCCTTCCAAATTGGATGTTATGCTAAGCAAATGTTTAGCTACATTTTCTTTTTGAGGCAATTAAGCCCTGCTCTAAACTGCCTGTGACCTTTAAACAAGCTGCCTAATGGTGCTGCTGCCACAGTTATTTGCTATAAACTGGCAATTTTTAGCTTATACAAAGCCAGAGCTCTTTTTTCAGGCTCATTTCGTTGCTCCTTATTCCTCCAAAAGGTCTCTGCCTATTGGAGGTAATAATAAATAGATATAAAATAAGTAGATTTGGACATCAGAAATGACTGTTAGATTATCTAAGCCAAATTCTGTGGTAATCCAGGCCAATATCTGAGTTATTATTTGCCTGAATTGCAGTTGTTGTGTTTTTATGAGCAGCTTTCAGTAGGAGAGCCAGATTTCTGAATTAAAGAAGGTGGTGGGGATTACCTGCAATTTCTTTGGGTGGTATTTGCTTATTTTAATCAGCTTTTTAAAGAAGAAAAACCAAGATATTTGTTTTGATTCACTTCCCAGGCTGTTTTCTCTTGCTGTAGCTCCTCTCTGCACCCCAACCCCTGCCAAAATTATGTGGGGAGCCCCCTTACCTGTAATTATCTTTGTGTCCAGGAACTCCAACATCAGAAAAATAAATAAAAATCACTTTTTTTCCATTTGACTGAGCCGTGTGTGTGGAAGAAAGAGGCTTAAAGGACCCTCAGGTGCTTTTTCTGGACCCTTGAACGACTTGTGGTTCTTCTGGACATCTAATTTTGAGGTTTTCTGGGAGAGGCTGCTTTTCCATTATCAGGGGCTAACTGAGGGGGGATAACTCTTCCCCTCCCTGTCCAATTCCATTTATTAGTCCTTTTGTTGGCAGGAACAGCCCTCAGTGGGTAATGGGAGTGTTAAAAACCAGGGAACTACGTGGGAAGGGTGGTTTGAGCTCGGAGAGAGAGGGGGGGAAGGAAGGGGGGGAAAGCTAATTAAATGTGGTACCATTGCATGTTTAGAGCAGCTTTAAAATGTGATACCACTGAATGTTTAGAGAATCTTTAAAATATGATACCAGTGCATGTTTTAGAGCATCTTTAATCCTCATTATCCACCACACAGTGAGGATGAGGAGCCAAAGGCAGGGGGGGTGTTAATTGTACCCTCAGTTCTCTGTGTGTGTGGAGGGACAGGGAAAACAGGATTCAGTTCCCTCACTGACTTGGAGCCAAACTCCTCCAGAAGTGCCCAAACCAGAGGTGACCATCACCAGGTCCTGGCTGGACACCGGGGGAAAATCCTTGTGGATGGGAGGGATGAAAGCCCAGGAGATCAGGAGACACCGGGAGTCTCCAGATGTTCCGCCCCTGAGCCGATGGGGAAGTCAGACCTGCTTGGAAGCGGAATGAGGAACTTCCAGGGGTCTCTTCCAAGCTGGGGCAGCCTGGTGACTGTGTGTGGGGGGTTACAGAGCCTTTGGAATTGGGAAATTTTGGGCACATCCCTGCCTGCTGCCGAAGGAAGAAGAGGAAAACTGGCGCTTCCGCTTCTGCCGGAGGTTTCCGAGCTGGGTCCGCTGAGCTGCTCCATCCGGGTGTGCTCTGGCATTTGGGTGGCCTCTCTTTTTGGGAGAGGGAAATCGGGGTTTTTGCTTCATCTGTGGCGTGGGTGGATTCCTGATGTGTCCTGGCCCAGCTTCCATGGCTGTTCCCAGATGGATACTGGGAAGGAAGAGGGTGGACGGTGCTTCGTGTCCAGTGATGGGAACCCCAGAAGTGCTGGTTGATGGGGTTGGGGAGGAACCTGATGAATTAATTAACACTGGGACATTAATTCCTGCTCCAGACTGAGCTCCATCCTACAGGCTGCACTCTTTCCTCATCCACGCAGAGAAGGGAATTCACAGGGAGGGATTTTCTGACAAAAATTTTTCGGGAGTGAGGAAAAAGTGCAGCTTCCTCTTAGCAACCTGTCCTAATTTAAACAGCCTGGCTGTCCCAAGGCTATTCCAGGGTTATTCCTGACCTGCAGGCAAGCAATGGAATTCACTGGTGATGGATATTCTTGGAGTAGAGATAATATTTACTGGTACTGAGGGACCAGCCCCTGGCTGGGCTCTGCTCACTGTTATCTCCTGCCTTTTAATTTTTAATGTTTAACTGACAGGTTTGTTATGAACCGAAATCCTCCAGTGCGAGCAAACCTCTTGTTTCACCACCAGCATCTTCCCTTAGTAGGGAACAGGTTTTTAAACTTCATTTTCGACCTCTGCATGCCCAAACCTCTTGTTTCACCACCAGCATCTTCCCTTAGTAGGGAACGGGGTTTTTATACTTTATTTTCAACCTCTGCGTGCCCAAACCTCTTGTTTCACCACCAGCATCTTCCCTTAGGAGGGAAGGGGTTTTTAAACTTTATTTTCGACCTCTGCATGCCCAACATGCTGTTGCTGGTTTCTTACAACATCACCACTGAGGGTTTTTTGGAAGCTGCACAGGGATGCTTGGCTTTTATTTATTTATTAGCAGCTGTGGAAGTGAAAGAGAAAACCAGGAGGGGGGTGAAGCTGTTGCTTTTACGCACTGATTTATCGTTCCTGGTGGAATATTTGGGGTTTGTCCACGTTTGTTTTTAGGATATCAATGAGATTTAGGTTCCTTGCTCTGCTGCCCACGGGCTGTCAGCTGGTCACTGCTTAAGATATTCAGCTGTAGTTACATCCAGAACACCTGAAAGATGTGCTTGCCTAAATTTTTCCAGCTGCCTCATGGTATCACTTTAGGAAAATAAAAGTTAAGCTGTTTTTCTCCCCATTTATAGAGTAGGGAATAATGTTTTGTTGGTGCTGCTGTAATGAAAAGAGTAACAGCAATCCCACATCAGTGCCAGTATCTTCTTTTGACAGTTTTCTGCTTGATAATCCTCCTGTTTTGGGACAAACTGTGCCTTGATATTTATTATAATGTTTTTATTTTGAATAATATAATATTTTTATTATAATATCATTTTATCATATAATATATGCATATATTATGTATAAATATATAGATATCTAAACATATATATTTATATATTTATTGAAATATGTATTTATATATTTATATACTCTTTTTATAAATATATATATTTATACAAATGCAGAATAGTTGTAAATATATAAATATATATTTATATATAAATATATAAAATATATAAAAATAGAATAATATGTAAATAATAAATAATATTAATAGTATATAATATAATGATATATAATTATAATATAATAATATATTATATATAATATATCCTATAATATAATGATATATAATTATAATACAATATAATAATATAATACATTATGTATAATATATATTATAATATATAACAATATAATATAACAAAATAATATAATAGAATAATGAATATACAAAGAATATATAAAATATGTAAACATGTATTTATAAAAATATGAAATTTATTATATTTTTATTATAATATTTTATGGTATATATGTAATATATAATATTATACTATGTTATATGGTATATTATATTAGTATAATTTTTATAATTTATAATAATAATTTTTATAATTATTATAATAATATAAATAAATATTTATGCGATGTATATATAATATTATACTATGTTATATTGTATATTATATTAGTATAATTTTTATAATTTATTATAATAATATTTATAATTTATTATAAAATATTACAATATTATTATATTTTAATATTATAATATTATAATTTAATATAATAATTATACCAGTTTATTATTATATGAATGAACTGTGCTCTCACTAACTCATTTTACGCACGTGCTCCAAATATTTGAAGACTGCACCTTAGATGTGAGTTTTTTTGGGAATTGGACCCTTCCACATGTTGAACTTCGTTTAGGAATAGAAATAAAGAACTATTACTTCAAGGTTTTCTGCTTTACAAAGGTTTTAGGGATAAAACCATCCCGATATTCAGACACCCCCCTGCCCAAAGAGGGAAATGCTGAGGGATGAACGATGTTTTAAAGGAGATTTAAGACTTCAAAGCTGCCCCGTGTTTTCCCGGCAGGTGTCGGCCGTGGATTCCCTGGAAGGCCCCCTCCTGCAGGTGGAAGGGCTGAGTGACCTGAGGCTGGAGCTGCACAGCAAGAAGATGAACCTGCACCTGGTGCTGATCGACGAGCTGCACCGGCACCTCTACATCAAATCCACCAACCGCGTGGGCCAGCGCGGCAAGGACAGGGGCAGGATCGGGTGCGTCTGGGCTCGGGGGGGGGACAGGGCAACAGTCCTCCTGCCCTGGGGAAAATGAGGCACTTGGGCACTGCCTGCCGTTGGTTTTCAACTCTGTGTAGTGAAAAAACCCGAATCTGAAGTTCTAGAGCTGGTGGGAATCTCCTGTCACACCTCCTGGATGGGGAATGGAGCGGGAGATGCTCCTTCTGACGAAGGGAAGTCCTGTCCTTTCAGTACCTTTGGTGTCATAGAATCATGGAATCAGCCAGGTTGGAAGGGACCTCTGAGATCATCCAGTCCAACCCTTGATCCAACACCGCCACGGTTCCCAGCCCATGGCACTGATGCCACATCCAGTCTCATCTTAAAAACCTCCAGGGATGGAGAATCCCCCACTTCCCTGGGCAGCCCATTCCAATGGCTGAGCACCCTCTCTGCAAAGAAGTTATTCCTAATATCCAACCTAAACCTCCCCTGGCACAGCTTGAGACCGAGCCCTCTTGTCTTGCTGATGGTTGCCTGGGAAAAGAGACCAACCCCCCCTGGCTCCCCCCTCCTGGCAGGGAGTTGCAGAGAGTGAGGAGGTCTCCCCTGAGCCTCCTCCTCTCCAGGCAGAGCCCCCCCAGCTCCCTCAGCCTCTCCTCCCAGCACTTGGGCTCCAGTCCCTTCCCCAGCCTCGCTGCTCTTCTCTGCCCCTGCTCCAGCCCCTCCAGGCCCTTCCTGAGCTCAGGGCCCAGAGCTGGACACAGCACTCCAGGGGTGGCCTCAGTCAGTGCTGAGTCCAGAGGAAGAATCACTTCCTTGGACCTGTTGGCCATCCCTGGAAGTGTCCAAGGCCAGGCTGGATGGGGCTTGGAGCAGCCTGGGATAGTGGAAGTTGTCCCTGCCCATGGCAGGGGTTGGAATGAAATGAGCTTTAAGGTCCCTTCCAACCCAAACCAGTGTGTGATGAGGATTTAAATGAAGGTTCTGGGGTACAAACAAGACTGCTTGTCAGGGGGGTTTGGGGGGCAGCAGGTCTGGGAGGGAAGAGGACAACATTCCCCCTGTCCTAAGTAGGAACTTGGCAGAGTGCCATCAACTTACACCCCAGCCTTTCATTTTTGCCATGCAAATTCCTCATTTTTCTGGCTATGGAGAGCAGGAAAACTCAAACATGTCAATGGACCTTCAGTCCTTTTCTCGTTCCTTCACTTTGCTTGCTGGTTCTCTTGGGTTTTTGCTGCTTCCCAGAGAGCAAATCCCACTGAGCCCAAATCCCACTCTTTTCCTTCACTGGTACTTCCACCTTTCCTACAAATGTCATGATGGTGAGGCTCAGGTCAGGCAATGGGAAGAAGGTGGGGGAAAACGGCTCATTTTCTAGCAAACATCCACATTTTAAAAGATGTAACCATAAAGTTTCTAAACAGATTTCTAAGGGTTAATAGGTGGAGGTCACAATATTGAAGCCAGAGCTGAATTCTCTTGGCTTTGTTGTGTTTCCCGGGTGTTTTAAAGATGTTGAAACTTCTTTACCTGGTTTGGTACCTCTGGGAATTCACCTGAAGTATAGGGCACCTGGCTGTTTATTCCTAATTTTGCTGATTCTGTGTTTGAGGGCAAGAGTTGTTGAAGGGAAGGAGGGAAGGCAGTGCCTAGAAAAGAGAAACACAGTGTTTGGAATAAACAGGGGCGGGGAGCAAAAGGGGAACCAGCATATGATAAAGATGCAGAGAAAAGATAAATTAACATTTTATGAGGAGAAGGACTAAAAATCTGCCTCCCCAAAAAGAACAGGTGAGACAGGAAGTTGCATGAAATGAATTTATGAAATAAAGGACTGATTAAAATTGAAATTTCCTTGGAAGGAGCGTTGCTGGCAAGTCAGCAGCCCCTTCCTTACTCACCTTGTTAATTAAAAACAGACACAAAGCTTTGGTGTACCCAGTCTGGGGCACTGCTAATTAACTGCAGTTTGGTGTGGCTGCTGCAGGGACCTTTTTATTATTCTGGTTTGTCTTTTTTTTTTTCACATTCCCTGTTGCACATCCTGGATATTTGATGACTTGAACTCTCCCAGCAAGGGCAGTTTGTTGCTTTAGTTTAATGTGCTGCCCTGGGCTGGCTGGTTGACCAGGGTGCAAAAATGTTTATAATTATTTCTTGTATTGATTTTAAGTGGGTTTTATCCAACTTTGGAACACACAATTAATCCCTGAAAGCGTGATTTTGTAGGTGTATAAGGAATACAGGTGGTTCTTATGCAGGATACCCTTATTTTTGCAGGTCTCCATAAGCAATTTGACCTCTGAGCAAACATCCTGAACTCCATTATAGGAGCCCTCTGCATTTTTTTTTCCTCCTAAAAATGATTTCTTGTGTCCTCCTGCCACGTCCAGCTGTCACTGTGCAGTGTGACACATTTCTGGCTACTAATACAGTGTGAATTTATGAGGAAAAGGACCAAGCAGAAAGTCTTTAACTCCTGAGTAAGAGGGTCCATTTGGGATGGGATGCACCTGGGTGGGCACAGAACAGGAAGGAGAGGAAAAAGTTTGGAGGTTTCTGGTGCAAACAGAAGAGTTTGAAGGATTAGAAGTCGATGGAAGCCATGGGAACAGGAGCATCTAAAATTTAAGGAATAAATGGGTTCTTTGTTGCGAGCAAAGATTGTAAATAACAGCAAACTATTTGCTTTAATTGTTTCCCCTCCCACAGCTCCCTGGTGAAAGATGCCTCTCCTGTGCCTCTGATGGATGTCACTAATTTATCCACACCTCGGAAGTTCCTGGAAACCTCCCAGTTCAGCACTCCTGGAAGCTCCAGCAGTGAGTATTTAAGTCATACACATCCCTCACAGAACGAATTTGTAGCTCTTCAGCTGATTTTACAGGAGTAGCAGGAGGAACACCATCCCCTCTCCACGTCTGGCTGCTGAGGGGAGGCCCTGAGACTAAAACCTGGCAAGGGATTTGTGCAGTGCCATGAGGGAGTGGCGTGTCCTGGGGCAGAACTGGCCCTGTCTGCTTTTTAATTTTGGAAAATCATCTTTCCCCCCTGCTGTCCCCATCAGCTTCAGTTAAATACACTTAATTTTCTGTGCCTGTCCTCACCTTGATCATGAGTTCGGCTCAGTTTATGTGGGGGTCTCCCCTCCATTACTTCCCAGAGGTTTGTGGGGGTGTTACTGAAGGTTTTTTTGCAGTGTTGAAGCCAAAAAGGTCAAATCTTTCCCTTGTGGGAGCTTTGGCTCAAGGTGTGTCTGTACACAGGAATAATCCCGTGACGATCTTTGTGCTGCTACAACAAACACTGAGCAAAAACATTGTTTTATTGGTGCTTTCGTGGGAGGCTTTGCAAGGGCTGCAGAGGTGGGGAATTAATCCTTGTATTGCTTCAGAAGATTAATAAGTGGGGTTGTCCTTGATGAATAATACAGAGTTGACCTAAGTCTCTTCCCCCCTTCCTTTCAAAACCTGACTGTTTCAGTATTCCTCAAATGCAGAGAGTGTTCCCTTCTCATCCTTATTAATTCTTTTGTCCTTTTGCTTCTGGGTTTGTCACACTCCCCTCCTAGATCCTTCTCTTTGATTATTCTTATCTTTTGCTCTTGTAGGGGTTTTGTTGTTTTAGCTCTGCTCCTGCAGGGTTGCTCTCAGAGCCTGGGGCTGTTTTTCCCTGGAGTGGAAGGTTTGTGAGGAGTCACTTGTGATCTGCCAAGGGAACCTTTCAGGGCTGGAAAGTGCATCAAAAAACCTGGAAGAGAGGAACTGTATGAAAATTCTGAGGGAAAAACTTAAGAATTCCTGTTCTGCTCTGTGTTCAGTGAGAAATTCAGTTCAGTTTCTTGCTAAAAATCACATGGTTTTGGGGAACTGAGGAAACAAACCACAAAAATCTGAATCCCAGTCTGACCACTGTGAACAGAATGGGTTGGGTTGGAAGGGCCCTTAAAGATCATCTGGTTCCAACCCCTGTAAATGTTAAAACAATTCCTTTTCAGTGGGGGTAGTTCTGCAGTGCCTACCACTGTTTTTCACCTAAAATATCAGTCCTCTGTACAGTAGGAAAACCAGAAAGTCTGAGGTTCTGGAGCTGATGGGAATCTCAGGGATGGGGAGTAGAGCAGGAGATGCAACTTCTGATGAATGGAAATACCTTTGGTGTCTTCCTGATTTGTTTTTTGTTTTTGATTGCCAGTGTAACACAAACCTTAAATATGCTCTGAAAACAATTCTGATGGTGCTTGTCACCTTTAAAGACTCACAGTTCCCAGTCAATCCCTGTCACATCTGTGGAGATTTGGCTGCCCCATCCCTGGAAGTGTCCAAAGCCAGGCTGGACAGGGCTTGGAGCAACCTGGGATAGTGGAAGGTGTTGGGGTTGGAACAAGATGGTCTTGAAGGTCCCTTCCAACCCAAACCATTCTGTGATGGTGATTTAAGTGAAGGTTCTTGGGTACAAACAGCAGTGGCTGCTTGTGAACATAAACCAGGCTGAATACCTGCAAACAAAGGCTCTGGTGGCTTCATCCTCAGCTCCAATAATTGGTTTAGGTCAGTTGAAAAATCTGCCTTAAATTCTTATTTTTTTGCAGATCTGTTTTTGCTCTTCACACCCAGCACACCAGAAAATCTCTTCCTTGGCTCCTCACTCTGCTCTGTGTCACTCAGTGAAGTGCTGGGCAAGTGTCCCTCAGACTGGGAAAGCTGCAGATCATAATAGAAAACATTTGATCAGCATAAAGTATGCATATGGTTTTGCTTCAAGTGCACAATGTACTTATGGAGATTTTTTTCCCTGTAATTTTATTTAAAAGTAGCCTTTTCCAGGACTGCACAACTAGCAGAGAATTTAAAACTTATGTGTATGCATAACAAAAGCTGTTCCTGCCTTTAGTCACTTAAGTTCTTTTTGGCTTTTTTATTGATGAAACAAAGTGGCCTTGCATATTAATGGGTGACATTATAAAGCACTGGCTCACTCGACTTGTCTCAGCAAAGATGCCAAAATTTGGAGTCCTTCCTGCTTTCCCTTCCCAAAGGAGGTGTTGCCTTGTGCTGTAGAATCTTTATAAGGGAATTAAAGCTGTTCCTGCTGCATGTAAAATAAACAAAGCCCTCAGTAATGCACACCTGAGGATTGCAGATATGGCACTTCACCAGTAACATTTTCCCTTCATGCCAGTTCAGAGAAATAAATCCACTTTTAAATGATATTTCTCTGCTTGAACCTTCTGTACTCTGAAGAGTATTTGTGGAGGTTCCTGCTTTGCCAGGCTCTTCCTGGAACTTTAAAATGTGCTCACCTGGTTCACAGCAAGCCAAAGAGTGCCCTTTCCTGAGAAATTTGGGAGAATTCTGCTTAGGAGTCCCACAGAAGATGGGCTGTGATGGTGAAAATTAATATTGTTATTGATGGCATAGGTAAATTTGAGGCTGAATTGATAATTTGCTTCAGAGATCTTTTTTTCTCAGTGGTAGGAGAGAAATGGAACTTCTAAATCCAGGCAATGTGGTGGTTCTAAGGTCAGATCTAGTTACTGCTCCTGTCTCTCTTTCTTCAAAAAACAGCTATTTTTGTGGAGGTGAAAACTTGTGGAGACCTGGGAACTTGCTCCTGGAAAATCCCTGCAGGAGCCAGAGCTTTAAATATCCAGTTTTAAGGGTGACTCCAAAAATGCCATTGTGCCACGTTGTCTCAGTTGTTTCCACTTCAAACATGCTCAATAAATACTTAAAAGATATTTTTTTTCTCGTAGACCTCTCCTGAGGATCTGGGTGGTTTTTCTCCAGCATTTTTCCTAAACTATAAATGATCTGGGGGTGTGTTTGGGGAAAGAAAGGGAAAATCAGGGAGATTTTAGAGCCATGAAAGCCAGAAGAGTTAACACATAGTTATTCTCCCTGTATAATTTCATTATTAGTTCCTGTGTGTGGTCCCATCATCAGATATTTGACCACAGGGCACTTATTTTTTTATTTGGAGACTTGGTTGTCATGCTTGTTTAGGTTAGGAGGATTTTAAACTTGGCTTTTCTTCTGGGCTTCATAGTTACACAGAGCAGAAAATGCCCCAAATCTTTTTAAAGTTCCCATTTCTGCAGTAACTGTCCATTTGTTGCTCCTTGGCTCCATGAGTGTGTTGGAACAAGGATTCAACACCAGGAATGAGCAGGTGATGTTCCTTCAAGTATGAAATGATGGCTTTGGGGCACCAGGAACTCGTGTGCTTTCCTCTGGAAGGTTTGAAGGCAGAAAGGGCATAATCAGGAGGACATAAATCATGGAAAATAGCACATTAAATTTTACTGGAGTCCCATAAAATCCCCCAGCTAATGAAACTTTCAGTAATGAGCAGCAGCAAAACAAGACCCAAGAGCCTTTTCTTCAGCTGCTTTGCTTAAATGAGGTACCAACAGTGACTTTTTGGGGGAATCAGACCAGCCCTTGCAGCAGGTTGGGTTCTTGGGAAGCGGCAGAACTGGACAAATGAAGGAATTCCCAGCTGGCAAAGAAGGTTTATAGGACATCATCAAAGCAGGGATCTGTTCAGGGAACCTTCCACCTCTGAAACCATGGAAGGGAAGGAATCAGTGATGCACATGGTTCAACTTTTAGTGACAACTTTTGGCTGCTTAAACACGGGGTTGTGCATTTTCAGGTGAAAAAATGATTCAGTGATGAATTTTTTTTTAGAAAATGGCCGCCAGAGAATGAGGCAAAATAATCATTCTTTTAAGTTGTTGTCTCAGGAGGCTTTTGAGAAGCCATATTTGCATGTTCTCCTTCACGAGAGGTTTTCAGAGGTTGTTAGGACAGGAAGATCAGCCAATTCCCCTTGGATTATGGGGGTTCATTCTGCTCTCCATCCCTGTTTTCCAGCTCAGGGCACTGGGTACCCCCAGAAACTGGTCTTGCTGTTAAAGGCTGAGGCAAAAGAAGGCATTTGGTACCTCAGGCTCTCCCTGAACTTCTCTCACTATTTCCCCCACATCCTACAGAGGATGGAGATTCTCCTTGGCCCTCCTTTTGTTGCTGATGTATTTATAGAAACATTTTTATTGCCTTTTACAGCCAGATTAAGTCCTGACTGGGCTTTGGCCCTTCTTTTCTCCGTTCACAACCTCACAGCATCCTTGTGTTCCTCCTGAGTTGCCTGTCCTTTCTTCCAAAGGTCAGAAACTCCTTTTTTCCTTGAGTTCCAGCCACAGCTCTTGGTTTTTATCCTTTAGGATTTCCTCCTTGGTGAATGTCCAGCTTTCCTGGACCCCTTTGCCCCTCAGGACAGGCTCCCAAGGGTCTCTCACCTCAACAGGCCCCGTGACAGTCCAAGGTCCCTGTTCTGCTGACCCCCCTCCTTCCTTTTGGGATGTGAAGGTGGGAATAAGTTCTGACAGCCTCCTGCTTTTGTCTTCATCCAAATGAATAGCAAAGTAATTCACGTTCCCAGTTTAAGAGTAAATACAGGCAAAGCTTTCACTTCTGAGGGCTGATCTGTGGGGGCTGATCTTTCTTCACCTCTGCCCATGTGGGGATGCAATTTTCGAGGTGAGCTCCTTAATAAATGCCTGTATCCTTTGATGCCTTTCTAGGAGAGCAAGGGGACAGGAGGGGCTCATTCCTGAGCCAGAGCTTTGTGGTCAGACAGCCCCTTGGTGACATTAAATGGCAGCAGAGGACGTTTGAAGCGCGGAAGACACGAGAAAAGAGCCTCTTCAGTTACCCGGGGTTGGCGTCTTGTCAGATCTCACAGATGAATGAGGCCCCCAAATCCAGCCAGGATTCCTGTTTAATAAGCACAACGGGCAGGAAACACACTTGAAAACAGGTTTTATCAAACCACCAGATCTAACAAAACTTCCCCTGCCACGTGCTGCTCCCAGATATGGAGCTTTTCACTTCGCTGTCGTCTGTCGGAGATGCAAATCCACGTCCTGACCATTTGGGGGGGTGTTGGAAATCGGTTTGCTCTTTTGGAAATGCAAGAGCCTTCCTCTTAGCGTGTGCTTGGCAGAGTTCTCAGCAAGATTGCTGCTTTTACTCCTCTTAAATGCTGTCCTCCCATTTGGATACGGCTCCGTTTCCTCCCTCTTGGGTTTTCGTTGTGTGATATTAAGAATAATTCACAACCCACTTACAAAGGAGCTGCAGAGCCGTGGTGGGGGCTCTGAGAAGCTGCTCAAGCTGAGAAATATCCTCACTGAACTCAGAGAAACAAGATATTTGGGGTTTTTAAAAGAAAACAACAGGTTAAGCCTTTCTTCCTGTGCTCTTTTCACAGCTCTCGTTGCAAGGAGCTCGTTTTCCCTGTTTGTGCCTGGCGTGCTGTGGGTTTTGGGGGAATAACAAATGGCATTAAGAGGGTGGGTAGAGACGATGTCTGCAGCACTCAAAAGTGCTTTGCGGCCTCGTGGGGTGAAAGGTCTGTGATGGAGGAGAGGTTTGAGCAGGAATATGTTTGCATCCAGTTGTTAACTTCCAATTGGTGTTACTGGTTATACCTGTTTGAGGTGTCTCTATATTATCCTTGGTTTTTTTGCTGCTTTTTTAGAAAAACAAATTAATGCACTCTCTGTGTTTCTAGTTGTTTGTCTCGTAGCTTGTTCAAATTTAATTGAAAAGAGTGTGTGTGAGAGAGAAAAAGAAGCACTCTTTGATCTTCCTGGTGTCTCATAATCACAAAACAGTTTTGAATTGGAAGGGTCTTTTTAAAGGCTGTCCCATCCAACCCCCCTGCCATGGGCAGGGACACCTTCCACCATCCCAGGTTGCTCCAAGCCCCATCCAACCTGCCCCTGGACACTTCCAGGGACCCAGGGGCAGCCACAGCTTCTCTGGACAACCTGGGCCAGGGCCTCCCCACCCTCCCAGCCAGCAATTCCTTCCCCATATCCCATCTATCCCTGCCCTCTGGCAGTGGGAAGCCATTCCCTGTGTCCTGTCCCTCCAGGCCTTGTCCACTGCCCCTCTCCAGCTCTCCTGGAGCCCCTTTAGGCCCTGCAAGGGGCTCTCAGCTCTTCCTGGAGCCTTCTCTTCTCCAGGGGAACATTCCCAGCTCTCCCAGCCTGGCTCCAGAGCAGAGGGACTCAAGCCCTGGGAGCAGCTCCGGGACCTCCTCTGGACTCTCTCCAGCAGCTCCACGTCCTCCTGCTGTTGTTCCCAGGGCTGGAGGCAGCTCTGCAGGGGGGTCTCCCCTGAGGGGGCAGAGGGGCAGAATCCCCCCCTGCCCTGCTGGTCCCACTGTGGGATCAGCCCAGCTTGGCTTTCTGGGCTCAGTCCTGCCCTGCTGGCTCCTGCCCAGCCTCCCGTCCTCCATCTCCTCACCCAAACCCTGCTCTCATTCCCTGTCCCATGTGGTGCCCTCCCAGGATCCATTCCCACCTTGCTCTTCCCTGGCAGCATTTCTGGGTTGGGATGAGGAGGGTGGGAACAGTGGGTTTGGTTTGAGCCAGAGGGGCCGTGGTTGGGATCACTCTGCTGCAAAGAACCAACTCTCTGCATTGTTGGAGCCTGAAATTGGTGTGAGCTGGCACTGAGAGGAGTGTTATCTGTTTATTGTGATTATGTTTATGAAGTGGCACCATATGGGCTCTCTGGGACATTGTTTTCTTGGTCTTGCTCTAACTCAGAGCTGCTGCTGCTCCTCCGTTCAGAGTCGCGGCTTCAGACAGCTCGGGCTCCTCGTGACGTGCCATTTCTCATCCCTGCCACGTTCCTTCAATCCTCCTGCTGGATCTTTTGACATTTATTCAGCTTCTTGGAGAAGTTTTTGAGTAAAAAAAAAAATCTGTTGAGGAGTTGGAACCATGGGAGTCATCTGTCACCCACCAGCCCTTCCCAAAGCTCAGCACCAGGAATATGGAACAGCCGTCAGGGGGGTTCATTTTTATCCGAGGATCTGGTGGCTGTGGATCTTCCAAGATGCTTTGAGCTGAGTTTGCCTTGAAGACACACTTAACTTCCCATAAGTGTTTAAATATATTTATTAAATGTTTCACCCAGCCTTTAACAGAGCCACGCTTTTGTTGTTGCTGGGTGTTATCTGTAAATTAAGAAATGTTGCTTAATGAACACACTTAAAACAAGCAGAGTGTCTCTTGCTTTCCCATCCCTTGTCTCTTAGCAACAGGATTTCTCCCTGTGCAGTCCCTGTTACTTCAGGGCCATATCCACGATACCCTCCCTAATTCTTCCTGGTTTTTTTCCTTTTTAGAGGCCCTGCTAAAAGATTTGAGTAACTTCATCAACCCCTTGGCAGAAGTGATAAAGCAGAACGAGAGAAAATCAAACAATGAGTCGCTCTGGCAACATAAACTTTGCTGAATAAATCAGAAGTCTCTTAAGCTCGATACTGTTTGTAATGAAAATTCCTCTCCTGTGAAGGATATAAGAAGTTAAAACAGCTGGGGCAGAAATTTAGGGCTTTTTAGCTGCCTGAAACACATTGAAGGGATTTGTAGGGATGTGGGACCTTCTCATTTCTGAATATCTTAATTGCCCCAGAATCCTCTGTTTCCTCACTAACACATAACTTAAATCATGGAACATTTCCAAATCAATCAAACGTTCAGGTTACTGTATTTATGTGTAGAAAAGCCCCCAAGCAAACAGAAATATCCTCTGCCTCCCCCCAAAAATCCAAGTGTTGCTGGTTTCCTTGTTTATTCCTCACTTGCTGGACATGGTGGTGAAGAATATTATAAGTTAAAACAGCTGGGGTAGAAATTTAGGGCTTTTTAGCTGCTTGAAACACACTGAAGGGATTTGTAGGGGTGTTGTGCCTTCTCATTTATGAATATCTTAATTGCACCAGGATTCCTCTGTTTCCTAATACATAACTTGTGTCATCCTGTGTTTCTAACTCAGTCAGACGTGCAGGTTACTGTATTTATATATAAAAAAGCTCCCAAGCAAACAGAAATAACCACTGCTCCCCCCAGAATCCAAGTGCTTCCTTGTTTATTCCTTGGTTGCTCCAAGTGGTGGAAGTTCTGTGAAGGCAAAGGAGTTCAAATGCTGCTTCTGGATGGTCTCAGGTGTCGGGTTTGACAGTTTTAAATCTTGGATTATGCCTTTTGAAATCTCTTTTCAGTGCGAGACTCGAGCCTGCTGGAAATCAAGGAAGACACGGAACTGGATCCAGAGGAGAACAGCAGTGTCTTCATGGGAATTCTCATCAAAGGGCTGGCCAAGCTGAAAAAAATCCCAGAGACAGTGAAAGCCATCCAGGATCGCTTGGAGCAGGAGCTGAAGCAGATTGTGAAGAGATCCACGACTCAGGTGGCTGACAATGGTTACCAGAGAGGGGAGAATATTTCCCAGGAAAACCAGCCCAGGTAAGGATATTCCAGCCACTTGGATTGCTGCAAAAAAAAAAAAAAAAGTCCTAATTGATGATCTGAACTGGAAAAGAGAAAAATTCAGCTCAGCTATTTGGAGTGTGGCAGAGCCCAGTTGAGCTGAGGCAGGTGCAGAGCTCTGAAATCGTGTAGGGAATTAATTATGTCACAAAATTATAGCACCAAAAAAAAAAAAATTATATCCCAAAACCCACCCAAGTCTCTTAAATGGTTTTGCAGCCCCGTTTCTGTTGGTGGCAAGGTGTGGGAGCCAGCTGAGAACTGTGCTTGGGCTGCTCCTCGGGATCCACTAGAAGTGTCCTTGGGAAAAACGGGATTCCGGAAGGGCACGTTGTCAGGATCGTCGTCCAAAGGGAATTGTTGTGGGAAAGGAAAACATTGCATCTTCATTGTAGGTGATATTTGCAGTGCAGAATCACTCCCAAGGACGACATTAGCTTGATAAAGACTCCTTTTTTTAATTCCCCTCGTTAGCATTGCTGTGCAAACAGTGGTGGTGTGAAGAATTTGCAGAGTTACAGTGCTGAGAACTCAGTAAAATGAAAACAAGCTTTTTTTTTGTGTGGATCACAAAGCACAATTTTAGTTTCTGATGCCAGAAGGGAGCGTAATATCTGCTTGATACTTGTTTTATGAATCAGTCTGGAGAGGTTGGGTGGCTCCTGGTTGTCCATTGAAATGGATAAATTGGATGAGATCATATATTAATGACATTAACCTGCCCAGAGGGCTGAGTGAGGCACAAAAAAGTTTGATGGGTTTTGGCACGTGTAGGGGAGTGTGAGCCTTTAAGATGCTCATATTCCACAGCTTGGGAAAGTGTCTTGAATTCTTGCTGAACACAGAGATAATTAGAACTGATTGTAAACCTAAATCACATGTGAAGTTTACAGCAAGCAGGTGAATTCGTTTACATTGAAAAGAATAAATTATAGCAGGGAAGGGTGTTCCCTCCCCTCAAATTAACTCCAGTTTTAAATCAAAACTCAGCCACTTGCCTCCTGTCAAGGAGAAAATAAATCTGAACAACGAGGTCCTGCTGTTTCAATAGAGCTCTGTAAGCCCACAAATCTGACCGTGATGCAGTGCCCAAAACTGCTTTGAACTATTCATTAGGCTGTCAGTGCTCCTGTGACCTCAGGAATTTGGGGAGGGAAATGTTTTTTTTTTCAGTTTTCCCTTAAAACTGCTCACGCTTGGCTGCTTCGAGTCTCTCACTGAGCTCAGTGCCTGCCTTCAGCTGCTCTGCTTCCGGTGGTGTCCATAAAAATTCCCACTCCTGGCAAATAAAATGACTAAGAAGGTGACAGAGGGGCCTGTGGGATCTCGAGCCTTGTACTGGACAAGTTCCCTGTGGCTCATTCCTGATGCACAGCACGTTGCTCCAAAGTTGACTCTTATTTTTCCCATGGGAAGAGGGGTGATTGTTTCCCTCCACTCAAAGGAGGGAGACACATCCACATCCCCATCCCTGCAAGTGTCCAAGGGCAGGTTGGACAGGGCTTGGACCAACCTGGGATAGTGGAAGGTGTCCCTACCCATGGCAGGGGGTGGCACTGGATGGGCTTTGAAGTCCCTTCCACCAAAAGCCCTCAGGAAGAGCAGCTTGAGATTCCCTGGGGTTTGAAGTGATTTGAAAGTTGGAGCCTGGAGGACTGGAGGGACAGGACACAGGGAATGGCTTCCCACTTCCAGAGGGCAGGGTTAGATGGGATATTGGGAAGAAATTGCTGGCTGGGAGGGTGAGGAGGGGCTGGAATGGATTTCCCAGAGAAGCTGTGGCTGCCCCTGGATCCCTGGAAGTGTCCAAGGCCAGGCAGGAGCAACCTGGACTAGTGGGAGGGGTCCCTGCCCATGGCAAGGGTGGAATGAGATGAACTTTAAGTTCCCTCCCAACCCAAACCATTTTGTGATACAAGTGATTCCCAAGTTTCCTAAAGCATTCAGCATGGATAGATGGGACACAGACTTAGGACAGGCCTAACTAGGTGGAGCATCTTTTCAGATACTTTGCTTGGAATATAAACCCTCTTTACTAACACACATTTACTTGCTGTGAGATGGGAATGATATAAAGGAAGTAAAACCTGAGAAGGGGCAGCAACAGGTTCCAAGTTGTTCCTTGTCCCTGGTAGAAGGTGACTTTGGAAACTACACTCTCATCTCACCCAGTTGCAGCTGATCTCAGCTTTAATTAAAATGGACCATTTTAAAGGCTGGGTAAATTCTCTGACATTTTTAGGTCTCTTTGCTTGGAACAAATTTATGGAAAAGGGCTTAAATATAGGAATTGCCACTGCCTTATCTTCAATTAGTGCTTCTTTAAGGCATGTGTCACACCTTCATGTTTAGAAACGTGGACCTTGGGTGGAAGACAAAGTCACAGAGCCATAGTCAGACTGCTGCAGGAACCTCTGGGTCTCTCCTGGATTTTGGAAGATGTGGCTATAGAATAATAACACCAATACTAATAGTACTGATAGTAATCTGGATGCACATCTACTTGAGGGACAGATTTATGGACATTTTGGTGAGGACACATTAAAATTCCAGCCCAAGAGAGGATGGTGTCTGGACAATTTTGCTCCTAAATCCTGTCACTTGGATTTATTGTGCTTTTCCCTACATGTCCATAATACACTTGTGGCTTTTGACCTCGTCTCAAAGCTTTAAAATAACTCCAGGAATTATGTCCATGCCACCACCCTGAGCAGGCAGAGGACATTACTGCTGCTGCAATGCCTGAGCTGTCACCAGTGACCCCTCTGAGGTGGCAGCAGTCACTCTGCATCAGCTCATTCCCGTTATTCCCCGGACTATGGAAGTTGCTTCCGGGGGTGTGTGTGTCTCTGCCTCTCCACATATTTCCCCCCTCTCCTCAGCTCAGGGGTCACAGGCTGGCTGTGACAAATTGCCTGAGCCAGGCTCCTGTCACTGCCTGTCCCTGCTCAGCTCAGGTCACTCGGAGCTCCAACCCCATCTGCATAAAATGTGGGCCACGTTCCGGGATGGGTTTTGTCCGCCCGTGTCCCTCCGGGGTTACCTTGTCTCAAAAATGACCTGACAGATTTATAGGACTGTTGGAGGGCAAGAAGAAAAGAGGGGCTGGCTCATCTGAAAACAGGGAAATGTGGAAATACAGCGTTGGATCAGAATGGAAAATGTAAAGGAGGGGTGGGTACAGACACCGAGAGTGTGGCCTGGGGGAATTCCTCTCTGTCAGTCTGTAACACAGCAATAGGGACACCCTGGAATTTAAAAAGAAATCCTTCTGTTCAGTATAGTACTATTTTAGGAATGACTTAATAAACAAGTTGATAATAGTGGCTCTTTAAACAGGTTGACAGCATGAGGTCAGGCTCACTCAGGGACAATAAAAATGAATTTGTCCGACTCTCCAGCTGGTTCTGCTCTGCCAAACTGTCCTTTCCTGGGGAGGTGGAGAAATAACTCAGCTCTTGTTTGTAATGGGATGTTGGTAGAAGTTGGGCTTGGGGTGATAAATTTTCCCAGAGGTAGATAATTCATTTGCTCCCATAATGTTCCTTGGTGCCATTTCAGCCAAGGCTGTTGAGGCTTTTGTTGCTTCTTCTTAAATACGAAGAAACTCAGCACAAACACCGGTTGTTTGGTTTTTATTTAAATGTGTCTTTAAATGGCTCTTTGTTGAATCTTGTTGAATCAAGGAAGGCCACAAGTTAGTTCAGAGGGCTGGACCACTTTTCCTATGGATACAGGCTGGGAGAGCTGGGGGGGTTCCCCTGGAGAAGGGAAGGTTCCAGGGAGAGCTGAGAGCCCCTTGCAGGGCCTAAAGGGGCTCCAGGAGAGCTGGAGAGGGACTGGGGACAAGGGACAGAGGGACAGGACACAGGGAATGGCTTCCCACTGCCAGAGGGCAGGGCTAGATGGGATATTGGGAAGGAATTCCTGGCTGTGAGGGTGAGGAGGCCCTGGCCCAGGTTGTCCAGAGAAGCTGTGGCTGCCCCTGGATCCCTGGAAGTGTCCAAGGCCAGGGTAGAGCAACCTGGGATAGTGGGAGGTGCCAGGGTTGGAACTGGATCATTCTTAAGGTCCCTCCCAACCCAAACCATTCCATGGTTCTATAATTCCATGGTGGTGAAGGAGTGGGACCAGCTCCAGTTTTTCCTGAATTTCTCGTGTCCTGCTCCGGGAATCGCGGCTCCTGCCGGGCACACACAGCGAGCATGTGGTGACTCCGGAGCTGCTGCAGGGAAAAATGTGATGGAGCCTGTCTGTCAGAGCTGGGAGTGCCTAACATATGGATTTGGGAAGTGTTATCTCCACGTTTTGTTGGGGTTATGTGTCTCCTTGAGTTGCTCATTAAACGCCAGTGAACTCGATCACAATTTTCCTGTTGTCGAATAGTCAAATTGTGATGTCATTGCCTTATCACAAACTATTTAGGGCTCTGCTGAGGTCCATTAATTGCAGTAATTGGGCAGTAAGGAAGCCATAGGAGCAGGTAAAATGTAGGACATTGAGATGAGATTATCACTGTAGTAAATGCAGTAGTAAAATCGTACTGACTGACACAGATGAGGAGACTTGATATTTTAGGTTTCGGTTATTTTGCAATGTTTAAAAGCTGCCATATTAATTTAATAGTTCAAAATCAATTTCTTGTGTTCTGTTTGTGTGGGTAAGTCTACTTTTATTGCCTCAATACTGTTGTTTTCAGCTGAGGGAAGAGCAGGTTGTCTCCCTCCCTGTGTGCAGCCCTGTCTGGGGTCATCCAATAATCTCTAATGTGGTGCTACTCTGGAGTTACTCTGGAGTTACTAATGGTTCTGTCTTCCCTGTAGCCCCAGGTAGGACACTTCAGTGCTGATATAGAGGAGGGAGTGAGGAGAAAGATCCTCAGGAGTATTTATGTCCCAAACCTGAGCTGAAATCAGAACCCACAGAGAGGGTTTGAAGCCGGGTGACCTCTCAGCATCTGTCACCAAACAGGACACGTGAAGGACACTCCTCTGTCTCCTTCCCACTGCTCTGTTGTGCTGGATGACTGTTTGTGCCCATGGAGCCTTGTGACAGCTGAGCAGAGGTTGTTTTGATGGTTTCCAGGTTGCTGCTGGAGCTGCTGGAGCTTCTCTTCGACAAGTTCAACGCGGTGGCCGCCGCGCACTCGGTGGTCCTGGGGCACCTCCAGCAGACAGTGGCCTCTCCCTGCAGCCAGCACGATGGGGACATCAAGCTCTACGACATGGTTGACGTGTGGGTGAAGATCCAGGATGTCCTGCAGGTAAGAGTCCTCCAGGTGGGCGCCTTTTCAGCTTTTACAACAGCTTTTAGAACCAAAAATAGCGGCGTGAGCACCTGTCGTGCTCAGGAGACAGCAGTGCTGGGGTTTGTCTCGGTTTTTGGGAAGTGGCCACGTTTATAACAGATTGTGACACTCCAGAGAGAGCTTAAATATCAGCAAAAAAAAAAATTAAAAAAAAAATAATTCTGTGGCTTCATCCTTCTGGTGTCTGGAAAGGTTTGATTCCTTTTGCCCACCGAGTGATTTATCAGCAGCTTTCAAACAGTGACATTTTTGTTCCGTTGTTACCGTGTCATCGCTGTCTTATGAGGTGTCACAGCTCTAATGGCTTGTCTTCTCCTGTCACTGTGGCTGGGCTGCAGGCAGCTGAGACACTTGTTCTCAGGAAATTCTTATTTGATTCTTACTCTCGACTCTGAGAGACTAAAGCTGTGCCTTGCTCGGGCTTTATTCTGGGACTGTGCCTTTCACCTCAGTGTGTGAGGCTCTCTCAGAGCTCTCACCTCTCATGTGCCTTCCTGCTGTTCTCTCCTTCTTGCTGTGAGGCTCACACGTGAATATTATATTTCCTCCTTTATTTATTTGGGAATTGCCTTTATATACAGCGCACAGATGTAGAGCCTCACCTGGGATTTGAGAGAGGAGGTCAAAGAAATGAGCCTGGCAAGATTTATGGTGGTCATTCCACCGCTGGGCTGTTGATGGAAAGTGCTCTCTGCCTCCTCTCCTAACAGGAATTTTCATTGCAGGGCTGTTATTTAGCTGTTGCTCTGCAGGTTTGTTTGATTGTGCAGCGATGGAGGGGTTTTTTTGCTTACCCAAATACCCAGCTCTGTGCATGGTGTGAATTTAATACCTCTTGAACCTGCTAAATGTAAGGTTTGGGCCTTGGATCACCTCCAGTGGCTCCTTACCCCAAATATTTGTCTTTCTAGAGGAATTGTTATTAAATAAACCTCCATCTGTTTTCTCCATGACACAAAGTTTCACCTTCTTTCAGTGCTGTTTTTGCAAAAGTTTGGTTGGGGATGTGCAGCCAGAGGTTCCTGAGGGGTTTCTAAACAAAAGGGTGTCACAGAACTGAAGTGTCTGGCCCTGTTAAAGGACACAATTGACCTTAAAGACATGAGGAGTGGCTTTGGCACTGGAGACCTCCAGCCCTCACCTGTGATCCAGGAGGTTTAAGAGCCCTGAGTTCTGCAGACTTTGCTGCAGGGAGGACAAAGCCTTGGGAGTAAAAACCCTCCCGAGATTTTCCCTCCGGCGTAGCAGAACACCAAGGCTGGATATTCCCCTTCTCTGGGGGAGTTTGGGGTGTGAATTTGGAGCAGTTTATCCTGGCTATCCCAAAAACAGGGATGATGGAACCTGAACGCAGAAGCAGGTGTAGGTGTGAGCATTTAGGGAGTGAAAAGCTCTTTCTGTGCTGGGGAGGCAACGTTTGACCAAGCTTTCTGTGAAAGGCGTGCCAAGAAAAATGCAACCACCCACTTGCAAAGGTTTCATTGATACTGGGTGTCAGAGGGAGGCAGAAAAGCTTCCAGAAGAGCTTTTTTACAATGCTTAAAAGCAGCACTTTAAGATCCATAATCTCTTGCTGGTTTAGGGTAAGAGATGAGCACTGACTGACATGGAAAGGAGGAAACGTTGCATTTCTTTGTTCACAATCTTGTGGGTGTTTGTGCATTAGTTCCCTTGGAGTGGCTTAAAATATTTGTCCTTTACAGTGTAAGAAAACCTTTGATCCCAAAGCCTGAATTATTTCTATCCTGCTTTTCTGAATAAGGATAATTTTTGGGGAGAGGGGAATCTTACCTTTGCAGCAGGGGGAGCAGAAAACTCAAGTTTTAAAAGTGTTTATTTAAATCTTCCTGCTGAAAATCTGGGGGGGAAGTGGCAAAGTGCATCGGGGAAAGGGATGCAGTTCCTTCAGATCCTGGTGAATGCAATTCAGTCATCACATCAGAACAATCTCCCATGGCTGCAGCTCACCTGGATAATGTCCTGTACGTGCACATTGTTCATCTCTGCGTGTGAAGTACATTAGAGCAAGGTTATCTCTCCAGCTCTGCCCTAAATAAGGTGAGCTTGTGGTGGGCTGCAAATTGTCCCCTGTGGGAAATGAGTTGTTTTCAGCTTGTTTTTGTAGCTGGATTTCTGAAAGCTCCCCTAAAAAACTGCACCAAGCACCGTGTGTGGGGTCAGAGGTGGCTCAGTGTTGAGCAATGTTTAGGCACAGAACATGCAGATATTCAATATTTTTGACCTTCTCTGAGAATGGAAGAATAATACAGAAGACAGAGTGACCTTTTAGAGCCGGGTGCCGGAACGGTAGAAAACAAACAAACAAACAAAAAAACCAGTTTGTCAAAATATTAGGGCAGGAAAACACAATTTGGAGTTATTTCCCGGTGCCAGAGCCAGCGGAGCTCGTGGTGCTGCTGCTGCTGCACCAACAGGACAGGGGTGAAACGTGTTTAAATTTGAACTTGGTGCTTTGTGTGGGGAGGTAACGCAGCTCTGCAGTGTGGGAGTGGGAGAAACATCCTTCTGAGCTCCCTAATTACTGCAGGAGCCAGTGCTGGGCTGGGAGAGCTGAGCCCTGTTCCTGCAGCCGTGGAATGATGGGAATAGTTGTGTCAGGATAACACAGGGAGGGAATTCTGGGGTTTTCTGGTGCAGTTCGGTGCCTGTGATGTGTCCTACAGATCACAGACCTGCTGGAGTGAGGTCCTGGAGCTGCTCCAAGGGCTGGACCACTTTTCCTATGGAGCCAGGCTGGGAGAGCTGGGAATGTTCACCTGGAGAAGAGAAGGCTCCAGGGAGACCTTGCAGGGCCTAAAGGGGCTCCAGGAGAGCTGGAGAGGGACTTGGAACAAGGCCTGGAGGGACAGGACACAGGGAATGGCTTCCCAGCGCCAGAGGGCAGGGATAGATGGGATATTGGGAAGGAATTGCTGGCTGGGAGGATGATGAGGGCCTGGCCCAGGTTGTCCAGAGAAGCTGTGGCTGCCCCTGGATCCCTGGAAGTGTCCAAGGCCAGGTTGGACGGGGCTTGGAGCAACCTGGGCTAGTGGAAGGTGTCCCTGCCCATGGCAGGGGGTGGAACTGGATGATCCTTAAGGTCCCTCCAACCCAAACCATTCCATGATTCCACCATTTTCCCAGCCCAAACGATGGGACAGGCTCAGTGCTCTACGTGCTTGGGGAGAAACCAGAAGGTTTTGGGTCCAGCACAGTTTTGTGTCATTTTACTTTCTTGGTCAGGACCAGATCTTCTGACACTTCATCCATTGCTTCTCAGCACCATCTTTTGATACCTTGATGGGATTGTTGCCTCTGTCCCTGCTCAGTAACACCAGAGATCATTCAGCTTCTTCAGGAATGTCACCCTTCTGGTGACAGGGGGATCACCCTGACAGTCTTTTATCTCAGTGCATTCCCCTGCTCCTGGAGGAACCACTGGAGACAGCTCCGTGTTGTCCCATAACCAGCTCAGGCTGAAGCTCTTTGCCTCCAGAGGAAGAAATCTTCTCTCTTTCTGTGGTGCTGGAATCTGTAGTGGATGATTCTCAGTTTTATCTGTTTTCTTGCTCCTGTAGAAGAGAGGGAAAAATCACATGTAGGCTTAGGACATTTATTTTAGCAGGCTCTGGTGATCTGTCTGCTGAGGAGACTCTCACAAGTAATGCTTTCCTTTTTTGGGGGTGTTTCTGTCTAATGCCTTGGGGTGTTTTCCAAAAATGGTGTCATTTAGCAGCCTAAACATTGCTGAAACCATAAGGAAACTGGAGCAGGAGGAACTTGAAGCCTCCTCTGTGCCCACACACTCCTGTCGTGCTGCTGCAGAGCTGGAGGGATCAGACACTTGATTGAGAAGCCTCTCTTAGTTACCCTGTGATGCTCCACCACCCTTAAATCCTTCCTTATGAAGAGGAATGGCATTGGAGGGAGGGAGATGGGATCATTCTGGAGCTCACAGCCAGGTCTGGTGAGATCAGCAGTGGGAGTGATCCTGCAGAAAAGCTGCTCTTAAATTGTCCTTGCTGCGTCCCACTTGTCCAGGAGTCCTGTGGGAGCACCTGGAGATGGATTTCAGGGCTGTGCTGCTGCAACCTGAGTCACTCCGTGGCTTTTAAGTGAATTAATGGCCTAAACTGTTGGATCCCTTTGGCACACAGGGAAAAGGTGCTGATGTTCAGCAGGTTACTCAGTGGAAAAGATGTGCAGAGGTTTGAGCTCCGTGCCAACACATCCCAGCCAGCTGTGCTGTCATCCCACTCCTTCCTTTTCCACAGCCCAGGATGTTTTCCTTGCTCTGGCAGCGCTGCTCGTTCTCCTGACAGGAATCTAATTGGAGGGAGTTGATTTGGCCAAGACTTTGCTGCTGGCTGGGTTTGCTGCCTGCTCAGGTCCCTGAGCCGTGGCAGGGCTGGCACGGGAGCGAGTGAGGGAATGCACCATGGAAAAGGGAAGGGTTTATCCTGGCAGCTGCAGCTCCCATCATCCCGCTCCACGGAGCCGCACCTCAAGGTGCTCTTGGAAAACCCAACTGCTTTTTGCCCTGGGTGGCTCAGCAGAGTCTGAACCTTTGCATTTAAAGGCTGAACTGTGTCTGTGACACAGTTAATACTTAGAAAGTCAAATCAGCTTCTTGCACGAGGGCTGTTAACGTGCCATGAGTCCTGCTGGAAATGTCAGAGCAATATCTGAAATTGCTGTTGCATTTGGGAAGTTCACAGGGTGATGTTTTGAACCTGAAGCAGTGTTATTTTTTCAGAAAGTCTCTTCTGGGGGAATTTAAGGGTTGTCCTCAAAATAAGGTGCCTGACAGTCCTCCTGGTTCTTTTTAAGTGGTCCTCAAGTGTGTGGAACTGATGCCCTTGGACTCCTGACTGGTGTGTCTCATTAATGCTCATCTCCATGAGCTGAGAGGATGTTGGTCCTAAAAGTGACTCGTCTGCAGCTTTTAAAAGAAC